AGAGTTATATATGTACAGTTTGTGGTACAGTATGATAATACGACCGAAGTTGGATATTTTCCCGTTCTATTCTGGTACCGGTGTTCAATCACATTCAATGCGACCGGGACTGGATTTTCAACATTTTCCACCCTACTGTTTTAATAAATACGACCGTCGATGAACCTGGTTTCCAACTTATTGTTGCGTCGTTGGTAACAGTAACAATAAAGTTTCCTCAGAAGCTAGTCGAAAAATATTTTAACAGGAGATTCCAAAGGCAGAAACCAACCTTTTACATTTCCAAAACTCCTCAACCCCCTGGTAACTAAGAGCACAGAATATTAAGAGCCCCCCTATTGCCCTATACCCTATACACTGACAGGCGTCGCAGTTCTTCATTCATCCGCCAGTTCGCCACAGCGCTAGTATCTGGTATCAAGCCTATCATATGTCTCGACGGTGGTCGACCGCTAAGTAATGTCATTAGGGTCCGGTCTCCGCCCCACCGCTCCTTCCCGCATTTTAACTAAGGCTGATTTATATGCTATTGTTTCATTTGCCTTTGTTACCGAGTCCGGCATCAGGTTAATTGATTTTCCAGTTCGATCGTTTAAAGGAATTTGACATACGTTTATTACGATTTGTAGGTTTTTGTGTTCTTGGTGAATTGCTAAGGGGGGTGAAGATGAAATGTGCTAAAATTTACTTTAATTTTTTGGGGTTTTAAGTTAAGTTGAAAATATTTTGTATCTTGGTTTACCAAGTATTCTGAGATCCGCTGTACAGTACTCAACGTCATAATCATCCAACAAGATCGTTGTTCGTTGGTTTTCATATTTTCAGTTTTTAAGCGTTGTTGTTTGATGACAAACGAGTTTATTCATTTGCAGACACATGGTATCTGGACCCCTTTAAACAGTCATTAGTGGAATTTGCAAAAAGTATGTAGTAGTTATTAAACTTAATACTTTTTCTATGGATTTTTTCCATACTTTATTTATATCCCCAAGGTCACCACTGATTTACCTATCTGTTTACTGACCTTTGATAACCGCCCAGGTCAGAGTATAGTGACTGGAAATTAAGATTTCTTCATAGCTACTTTATTCATGTGACAGGTTAGGTGAAATTAGGTTAGTTAAGGTTAGGTTAGGGTAATGATTATGTATTAACTGAGAATTTGGATAATGTAAACACCTCTCGGAGTTGGGAAAAGCCCTACCGAGCCTGTGACATTTTATATGAAGGAATCGCGCCAAATTTCAAATTGTTCCGGGTATGCCGGGAATTGAAACAATAACTCTCGCACCGAAGTCCAATACCCTACAACTCACCTGTACGAAACAATACAAACGAGCAATACACCTGTATATTCGGCAGGCTCGTATACTCAGTAGCAGGTTGTTGAGTCCGTCCTTGGACACAAACCCATCACTCAGACGAGACGTAGGATGAAGACCTCGTTTAGATTATCTCTGGTGAAGTATCGTTTGTCATCTGGACAGGTCCATTAATAAATTGGCCAATAACAACAAAGCTGCAGTAGATCTGATCTCTGTAATTGCTATGTACACTTTGAAATGTGTTTATTAGATTAAGGTTAATGGTGTAGTATTTTGATTGATTGTGGTTTAATGTTGCTGAGGTTTCTTAGGGTTTGGATGTGATGTTTTAGTACTTGATTCTGGTTTGTGGATGTGAGTGTTTACCCAAATCCTTACTCGTAGCTACTCTTGACAAAATATTGAATCATTCACAGTGGAATAGTTATAATGTGTCCAAGATGGTGGGTATTTTTTTGGATCAATGATATCCGAATGTATAGCTAAAAATACATTTTCATAGATCGAGATAATGTAATGTAGATAATGCTTTTAGGAAAGTTACTTTGTCTAATGTGCCTCGAAGAGTTTTAATTTTAATAACCACGAACTAATCTGTGGGTTGAACTGTAATTTTTCTTCAAACCATTTAAAAACTCCATAAGTCCCTATTATGATAAATGTTTCAATACATTCCAAATTGAAATGCTGCTAGATTGTGTTTGCCTGGATCCAAAGAAGAGAAGACCAGGATGTGTAATATGACAGTTCTGCCTGATATGAACTATTTCTACTCGTGTGAGAGAGAGAGAGTTAAGTCATGGTGAACTATTTCCCCCGTACCTGTCACACTACTTCTAAACTATCACTGACAGTAAATGATAGTCACGACACCTCACTTTCTAAATTGCCCTGCCACACTTCGGCCTCCTCTAGTTCATACTAAAGCGGTGAAGAACGGACACGTGTGTCATATAAATTCAGTAGAATAAAATATTCCCATTAGTTCTTAAATATAATGACACCATTGATTATCTGTTGATATATCGTTAAAGTATGTGCATTGTGCATTTTTTCTATGTTAATGCAGTACTGGTACGGTCACGTAGAAGGAGAACTAATTCTATCTCTCTGCGGTACAGTACCTGAATTTAATTTTCATCATTTAAGTTGGTGGTATTTTTAAAGTATTGTATTTTCCGCCCGTTGAAATATTACCTAAAGCAGTCAGCAAGAAACATGAAATCTGCATCCTGTGTATCGATTTCAGTATTTTCTGTGCCTTAGTTAACTAAGTACCTCAGAATACACTAATTGAAAGCATTCGTCGTACAACGACTACCTCAATACTCCTCAAATTCAGAGTACAAAATAGTGTGTACCTGATTCTTCTGCGTTATTTAGATTCTTTTTGCTTCTGTATTTTGCTTTGTATTGGTCTTTTTGCATTGCGCTCTGTCGAGATTTGTTTCTCGACAGTAAAGGTTTCAATACTTCGAATGCAAATACAAAAAATATGTTTTAGTACCTATTGACTTGAATATTTATCAATACCACTTTGGAGTGCAATAGAAAATAATATTATTTTTGACTAAGTGCCATTGGTATTTTATCTTTTTAACCCAATAGTCATTTTAAATCAAATATTATTCCTGTTTATAGTAGTTAAACAATGTAAGACGTTAATCGGTGAACACCAACTACACACTTATGTATATATCATTGAACATTAACGGACCGAAGAGTAAACCTTGTGGCAGTCCCATTCACGTCTTGATCACTTCACAATGGTCTACTTGACGTGATCGCCGCAGCCCGCGACTGGCACCGGCAACCGTCTCAACTGTCAATATCAATTTAGCAGAGTTGGTTTTGTCAACTCGACAGTTGGAAGTGTTTCATTAAATTCTCCAAAGTTTTGGGACAAGTTTGTGTCTAAAGTCATCACATAACTCGTGCCGTTCTCCTGTCCTCCTACATGCACACTCAAGGTTGGCAGGAACATTCTATTGAAATACTGCTTATGTTGAGACAGTCCCTTCTATACGAGAGATTTTGTATGTTTGTTACTCGTTCCTTCCTGTTTCAACTTAGTTTGGGATTGGCTCAAATATTACCTACTTGCTAGGAAGAGATTGCGTCGTTTTAACGTGAAGCGTATTTGAGTGGTAGTTGTAGTAAATATCTATCACCACAGGCTGTAGTACTGATTCCTATTACATAACTTTATAGTTTATATCAAAATCAATATTTTTTTTATATTTGTCTTTAAGACGAATTACTAGAAGTAAAATATTCATGAAACTAAAAATTTAAAGTGCGAACAAACAAATATCCTTGGTTCTTAAAACTTGGGTTTTGTATGTATCTGAAGAAGTGCTTTGGTCCGTTGTGTTTTTGGATGGGGATCTTTTTTATTAACGCACGTTTTTTTTATTTGTCTCAATGGAATAATCAAATGGAATACTCAGGCCGACGTTGGGTCGGGGATAAAGCTAAAGGGAGTGTTATCGTAGGTCTTCGATGTTCGTTTATAGGTCTTTGACCAAAGACGCGTAAACAAACTATGTAAACCTTGCCAGACGGCGGCCTCTTATCTGTCGACCATGTAAACATTCTCACAGGTGCTTCACACCACTCGCTGTGTTTGGGATTCATTTGGAGGCTGGTTTAGTTTTTGCTCCTCAAGGGTTATTGGATATGTTATAAACGAATAAACATTACGAGGGTGTAGAATTTCTCAAAACACTCTGATGATCTATTTATGAGACGTGTTATATGAAGAAACTGTATTTCCTGAACTGAAAAGGGAGTTGTGTACACAGATAATTGGATGTTTATTTAATTATCACAGGTTAGCTGTATCAGACTGTATCTTTGTACTTTTCTGATCCAACAACGATAGGTGCTTAAGAAATCTCACTTTCGATGAACTTACATAATAGTATGTTAAAATACCATTGGCTACCAATCCTTTAATTAGTTTATTGAATGTATTTCCGACCAATGGGTAGAGCCTGTGTAATTCACTACCAACAGGACGAATAAAACACCTGGAAATTATGATCTGAACAAATATAGTGAACTATAGTCCAAATCTAATTTTAACTGGTCGTGCTGTCTTGGAAAATTGCTTCCAAGGGAAATTACATTTTAAAAATGAATACTTGTTGAGAATATAAATTTTTCATGTTTTTTAAGGGAACGTATGTGAATTTTTCCTCTTTATTCCACCTTAAGAGGATTTGATCTTCCAAGAGCAGAGTTTCTTCAATGCGCCCGCCCCTTTAAGGCCTTTTCACACCGGCGTACTGGACGTACTGTACGTTTGGTACGGCCAGTTCGTACAGTACGCGGTCTTTTCACACCGCACAGAAACTTCCAAAACGTACACTTGTTCGTTTGCAGTCAGACAAGTAACACTGGCTGAGCACGTGGTTTTGGTGTGACCACTGCGCATGCGCGAGCTCGCGTACGCCTCGTACGATTTAGAAAAATCGCTCTCCGAGCGATTCTCACAAGACCATCGCGTACGTACTGTACGTACAGTACGTTCTGTACGCGCGGTGTGAACGAGCCCATATGATAACATGGACAGCGATTTGTTAAAAAAAAAACGTACCAAACGTACAGTACGTCCAGTACGCCGGTGTGAAAAGGCCTTTAGCCTTGTCTGACCGTCACCCCGTGTTGCAGGTGGCTGCGGAGGCATTAGGGGTTGCCTGAAGTGCGACACCCGCAACTCCAGCGACGTCAAGTGCCTCAAGTGCCGCCAGATGATCATCCTGGGGACCAGAGAGTGCGTGGAGTCTTGTCCCCCGGGCTACTCGCAGGAGTGGAGCACGCTGGTCGACTACATGGGCCGAGTCTGTAGAGGTATAACTAAAGTGCTCAGTGTAATGAAAAGTTGTGTTATTTTTTCAAGATATTGAAGTATTGGACTAATGTTGAATTTTAAGCCATGATTATATTTGAACTCTGATAAGGATTCTGTTAAACCAAGTCCTTTTGTCAACCGCCAAACATAGTAGGAGGTGATGGTGATATTATTACAATACTCATAATCGGTGGTAGCCAAACTGAATCCCCTTAGAATTTCATCTTGCACATTAGTTTATCGATTGAATATCTAGTTTTAGCACCATGCAAATGATTGTATCACATTTTGCATTTGCAAATCATATTTTTAACGTTACTGCATGTAACTTTTGATAAGCATTGCTTTACTAATTTTATACAAAAACATATTATCGTAGGTATTTTAAGTTGGTTTTGCCTAATTAGATAAGAATAGGTGTTTCGTTCTTCAACTGCAGCTGTATAAAATTGCGTGTGGCCCCTTTTCTTTTAATATTCGTCTCTGAACAAATGTTCATGTGTACTCTGAGGTTAACTTTTAGCTATATAATTACCAACTAGTTTCTAACAAATCGCCACACTGTTATAACCCATAAACGGATGGTATCCAGAACACACACGTTTTTAGAAGCACTGTAACTAGTTTCTAAGACTAAAATGTTCTATTCTTTCAATATTTCAAATTGTTAAATCCCCTATCATCTTCATTTCTCTCTCAAACTTTAGTACGTAATGGATATGAAATACGACAAATAAAAAAGTTGTAATGAGTTCATCTCTAGAAATTCAGCACAAGAACTCCGCCGAGATGACAAGAAGTGTAAGAACTGAGTTATTTTCGTAATGACATGTTTTGTGGAAACAAACAGACACTCACATTCGTATGTTGAGGCGATTATCTTGTCAGAGGTCAACGGAGGGAAATGGCACAGAGATTCGGATGTGCTTTCTTTGGCAACACGCAGTCGAAGAAGAACGTGAGAAAAAAGTTTGGAAAGGAAATAATGAGGACGAAGTAGTGCGTAATGTGAGGATTTCCAACGATTCCAATGCTGAAAGGGTGTGTTATTACTGGAAAATCTCTTCTGCAATATAATTACAGGGACGGGAATATAATGTGAGAAATTTCTCTCCATTTTAGCAGATCACATAATTTAAATTAAATGTACTGTATCATGTTTTAACAAAGTGGTCTCGGAAAGTCACTACGCCTGAGGCTTGTCTACCTGTTAAAATCTTTATGCTTTGTGATTTTTGGTTCAAATTTTATAATCTAGGTACCTTAACTTACCGATAAATATTTTAGTTGCGCGTGCGAATTTGTGATTGGGAAAATTGAAGCTGTGTACCATCTCCGTGGCCACTGTAATCGGAAATTTGTCTTCATAATGTTTTCGTACATTTTGACATGTCGTGAATAAATTTATATTCCAACTTCCAACAGCTATTTCAATAGTGAATTGAGCAAACCAGCGTCGTATTTCTAACTGACAAATAACCACCAACCTACAGCGCATGGATTTATGACAAATTCCTCGGTTTCTCCAGAGATCATTTGTCATTTCAAACTATGTACTATATTTCTGACAAGTTTACACTTTATCACGTCTTGTCAAAACTTGTCACAGTATCAGCAGTTAATTGAGAGAAAGTATTTGCTGATTAGCCACTTAACGTAACGAGTGAGGGTATAAAACGTCTATTATCTGGAGTCAAGAGCCTGCTGGACCATAAACAGCTGATTTAACGCAGTGACGTCACAGCAGTTAGCAATCAGCTGTTCTGGGTTCAGAGGCCAGCTGATTAAATGAATGCTCCGATTACTTCCCGGCAAATCAAGATGCTCTAGATTGAGGTTATGCGGCTGCTTTAATTAAACGTTATATCATCGGCGTTATTGGTCATTTGGATGGATTGTTTGTTACGTTTAGTTCATTGGATTTATCAAATCGAAAGTGATACATTCGGTTTTATTACATGAATGTCTGAACTTAGGAACAATTATTTTTTTATTGTTTGTTATAGATCGTATTTTAGCCTTTGGATCGCATTTGCCAGGGGTTTAGAATTGTGCACGTCTTTGTACTGAATGTATTTATGAGTGTTCTCAATAGTTCAACAAACTGACGAATGTCTTCACTTCTATAAGTATGATGACGATTCTCTAGAATCGATACTATGCAGACCATTCCTCCATTACATACAACCCACAGCACGTTTTTGTGTAACCATCTATCGAATAATTATCTGAATGCGTTTTGAATAGTTTGGTTCGTAGTAAACATAGAAAGTTATGAGGGCGTGCATTGGGGGAGGTGTGTTTTTTCTCGTCACAGTTGGCAGCCCTAATGCAATATTCATGTCGCAGGTGGCACCACTGCATCACAGGCGTGTGCTGTATCCCTTTGTATTAAGCCGTCAAGGGTTGGCAACACTTGATATGTATCACGTCGCGTGGATTAACCCTCCATTGTTGACATGAATGTAAAGAGGGGTCGCGGTTGATACAGCAATTGGTTTCATTTTGGAACTTTGTATGTCATTATGAACTTGTTATTTTGATATTAGTTGCACAGTTCGAACTATTTTCAGTTGTATTAATCAGGTGTTGGTGTTGGAGATCAAGATAACTTCGATAACTTTTGTTGAATCTCTTCAATACATCATTTTTATTGTTTGTGTGCAATTGTCTGTAATTCATCAATACTGTACTAATCGTTGATTACATCCCCTCAAATGCAATTGTATTTAGAGACACTAGTCATTTTTCGACTTCATTACAGGGTTGAGCTTGACAAATATTTTTTTGTATGATTGGAGTAGGAAGTGTTGATGCCTTTGATACGATGTTTACAACAGCATTGTGTGATGTTAACACTGTGGCTATACGTGTAATTGCTAGGCAAACGTAGCGGTAGACCATATCGCTGTTACGTTGTAATAGCGTTGGAGTAGTAGGCTGTTTTTATTTTACTGATGACAAGAGAATAGGGGTGGGGTTAACGACCAAAAGAAGCTTCCGAAGTGTCAGAATCCCCATCAGTATGAAATATGATTCCCCCACATTGAAGCAACTGGAAGCAACCTAAAGGGAGTTTAAGGTTCCTTTCTTTTCTTCTGATAATGTCTGTTGATGTAACCATTAATCACAATTTTATATCGCATTATCTTGCTTACAATGCAGTTTCATCCACGGGGTTGATAATGAGAAGGGAAATTGTGATGCGAATCCCTCGCAACACTATAAATTTGTATAGCTGTAATATATTAAACCAAAGTTGTTATGCTTGCTGTTATGTAGCTGATATGGTTTCAATCTGGCTTTTAAATGAGTGGCTTTACAAAATTGTAAATCAAAATAAAGTTCGCTACATTATTTAATTGAGTTTAGTCATTTAATCATGAACGATTCGTACCCCTTGAACTCTTTTCCACTACTAATTTTAGCCCAATCTTCCACTTTGTTGTATCACAATTCAATTCAAAGATGATTACCGAAGTATCTTTCAATGTAAAGTATTCAAGTATCTCAAAACGCTAATGCTTTGCTCTCTTCCATTAGTCGGTGTCTCTAATCTCCATGAATTTCTCCCTCTCTCTTTCTTACATCTGATGATGGTCGTGATAACCCCAACTCATCATTATACTTCATTCCCTATATTAAGTGATCCAACTACAAATTTATTCAACATTTAATTTCAGACCATTCCCCACAAGTCCAGCAAAGGAATATGTCCCCGATACACTTAATTTTCAACCGTTTGTACTTATTGTAGTCTTTGATGAATTTTAGATTTTCAAATTCTATTCTCACAGATTTTTCAAAATCGCTGCAAAATTGTATACTTTTTCAGCACGCATATTATTTCCTCCACAAAATTATTTTTGAACGGATGACGTTAGATTGTTTAATATTCCACCACTGGACAGAGACAGGTTGCAAAACCTGTGGCAGGAAGGGGAAGTAGAGTTTAGCGACAGAGGGGGTCCTCCCCCACAGCGCAGGATGCTAGGGGAGGGGGTCCCTTTAAACACAATATTGTAATTGATGGCTCTTTGTAAACAACTGTATGCCTCTGGGGTGGACTTTGTTTTAGTCAAATGCACTTGGGTGAAATTAATGTGACCGCGTGTGTACCAACTGGTCAAAAAAGTAATGCGCTCTGTTGACGAAATTGTGGGCCAGGTAAAATCAGTGGGATCAGATTCGTATTTGTCAAATTTGTGCAATAATTGTACGAATCTTAAAATGATTGTGCAGTATTGGGAGTTTACGTTATTTTGTTTAGAATTATATAAAAATAAAAGACAGCGTTGATATGGAGAATTTGTCTTCACTGTCGTAACATGCTTTTGAGCTTCTTAAAAATTCTCTTTCATTTTATACTCTTAATAGTTGTCCCAAATGTTTACTTTTGTGCATCAATATTATTATAAAATATACACAGTGATAATCTAAGTTTTTGCTACATTTTGTGAGCAAATAGCAAACGCTAATCTAAATATATAAAATGCAAAGCCCTCACTGACTCACTCACTCACTCATCACTAATTCTCCCACTTCCCATTTACCTAGGAGTCTGAAATTCGGTATATCGATTCTTTGGGCATTAAATAGGAAAACTAAGCAGTTTTTATTCTGATCGGGCTTTCGGGCTCCGCCCCAGTGGCTCTGGAGTTTCCCATGTTAACCTTATGATTTTTCATATTTAAAAGGATATAATGAATCTTAACAGCTGTTTCAATTAAACAAGTTGGTTCTGTTCTATGATGTTTAATAGCATTAAAGTTACAAGGATTACCAACAGGGTGCAGCACTATTACTTTTTCTAGTTTATGACAACAGCAAATTTGCAACCAAAAGGTGAGTGAGCGTAGCGAACGAACTTCAACCAGGACGTGATTGAGCCATGCGAATACTTATGAAGTTAAACGGGGCAGAGCCCGCGGGTACAGCTAGTGCTTTATACATAACATGTAAAATAAAATAAAGTTTATCATCAAACCAATTACTGTGG